CTCACACAGACTGCTGAGTTCACACTCTTCCTACACAACAACTCACAGGAATAACATTTTAATTATTGATAGACCGCTGAGTACATACACACAGTACACTGAATATGAACACCGAGAGACTGCTGAATACACACACACACACAGATTTTTGAATGCACACAGGGATTGCTGAATGAACACAGGCTGATTTATACACGTACACACAGACTGCCGAGTCCATACACACACACTGCTGAGTCCATACACACACACAGACATACAGACTGCTGAGTCCATACACACACAGACAAACACACAGACTGCTGAGTCCATAAACACACAGAGACTGCTAAGTCCATACACACACACACACATACAGACAGCTGAGTCCATACACACACACACACACACACACAGACTGCTGAGTCCATACACACACACACACACACACACACAGACTGCTGAGTCCATACACACACACAGACTGCTGAGTCCATACGCACACACATACAGACTGCTGAGTCCATACACACACACATACAGACTGCTGAGTCCATACACACACACACACACACATACTGCTGAGTTTATACACACACACATACTGGGGAGTCCACACACACAGACTGCTGAGTCCATACAAACACACACACACACACACACACAGACTGCTGAGTGCATACAGAAACACACACACAGACTGCTGAGACCATACACACAGACACACACACACACACACATACAGACTACTAAGTTTATACACACACACATACTGCTGAGTCCACACACACAGACTGCTGAGTCCATACACACACACACAAGCTTCCTCACTAGCAGAGACACACACAAGCATATTAAGCCTACCTGTCACTGGAGGCTATTGCTGGGGGTCAGACAGCCATCATCTGGCCTTTTCAGCAGCAGCAAGGTATACTGCTTAATGGCAGGCGGGGCTTATGTGTGGGAGATGGGGCTTCATTTGGGGGCGGGGGCTGTTTTGGGGAGCCTGTAGGTGCTCCATCTGGCCACAGCACCAATATAATTTAAACACATGGCCAGCAAGCTGAGTATTGTGGACAGGGGCTGAGTAAGGTGGACAGGGGCTTAGGAGGGGGGAATGGGCTAAAGAAGGAGACAGGGGCTGAGGAAAGGGACAGGGGCTGAGGGGGACAGGGACTGAGGGGACCAAGAGCTTAGGAGGGGGGACGGGGCTAAGGAAGGGAGACAGGGGCTGAGGAAAGGCACAGGAGCTTGGGGCAGGGGCCTGAGGAAAGGCACAGGAGCTTAGGAAGGGGAACAGGGACTGAGGAAAGGGGACAGGGACTGAGGAAGGGGACAGAGACTGAGGAAGGGGGCACTGACTGAATTAGGGGACAGGGGCTGAGGAAAGGGGACAAGGGCTGAAGAAAGAGGACTGGGGCTGAGGAAAGGCACAGGGGCTGAAGAAGGGGGACAGGGGCTGAGGAAAGGCACAGGAGCTTAGGAGGGGGAACAGGGGATGAGAAAGGGGGACAGGGACTGAGGAAGGGGACAGGGACTGAGTTAGGGGACAGGGGCTGAGGAAAAGGGCTGAGGAAAGGGGGACAGGAGCAGAGGGAAGAGGACAGAGGGCTGAAGAAGGACAGGGGGCTGGAGGGGGACAGGGGAAAGGACAAAGGGGCGGGGACAGAGGAAGGCAAGGAGCTTAGAGGGACAGGGCTAAAGAGGGGCAGGCTGAGGAAGGGGACAGGGGCTGAGGAAAGGCACATGAGCTTAGAGGGGCAGTGTCTGAGGAAAGGCACAGGGCTGAAGAAGGGGCAGGGGCTGAAGAAAGGCACAGGAGCTTAGGAGGGGGGGCAGGGGCTGAGGAAGGGGGACAGGGACTGAGGAAGAGGACAGGGACTAAGTTAGGGGACAGGGGCTGAGGAAATGGGACAAGGGCTGAGGAAAGGGGGCAGGGCCTGAGGAAAGGCACAGGGGCTGAAGAAGGGGGACACAGCTGAGGAAAGGCACAGGAGCTTAGGAGGGGGAACAGGGACTGAGGAAGGGGACAGGGACTGCGAGAGGGGACAGGGCCTGAGGAGGAGGACAGGGGCTGAGGAAGAGGACAGGGCCTGAGTAAGGGGTTGAAAAAAAAACCTAAATACATTCCCCCCTCCCCTGAGGCTTACCTTGGGCCAGGAGGGGTGGGACAGGATCTGGAGCCTGCAGTCAGTGGAGTGGGCCAGCCTCTCCTGATGATGTCAGGAGGAGGGGGCGTGAATTCCTCTGCTCTTCTCCCAGACTCCCCAGCGGTCCTGGGAGAAGAGCAGTGAAAGTCACGCCCCCTCCTCCTGACATCATCAGGAGAGGCAGGCCGGCCGACTCCACTGGCTGCAGGCTGCAGGGAGGTGAGTTTAAAATCTGAGTCCCCAGCCCAGGCATGGGATTCGGATTTGTGCTCCCCTCTGCTCTGGTGGCCATTTGTGCCAGCCCTGGGACCTGCAGGACTAGTAACGGGAACAGCTATTGGCTGCCCGCACACATACAGAAGCCAATGGGAGACATGCTCTACTAGGTCATGGAGGGTCCGCCACTTAGACTTCGCTGAACACAAGTATTAGTGCTTCAAAATAGTAAATTGTATCATAACAATGATATAGCCAGCGAAAGTGCATTTTTTTTTGCATTTTTTACACAGAAATGGCGATTCACTGACAATATTATTATTGTGATACGTTTTACTGTTTTGAAACACTATTTATATTCAGCAAAGTCTCCCAAGTATAACAGTACCCCCTATGCACAAATTTTATGGTGTTTTCGAAAGTTACATGGTCAAAAAATATTACATTTTAGATTTCTCACAGTGAAATTTGCCAGATTGGTTATGTTGCATTTGAGATCATATAGTAGCCTAGGAATGAGATTTACCCCTATGCTGGCATACCAGTTGCAAAAGTAGACAACCCAAGGTATTGCAGATGGGGTATGTCCAGTCTTTTTTAAGTAGCCACTTTGTCACAAACACTGGCCAAATATAGCATTTATATTAGTTTTTTGAATATTTCACACACAAACAAATATGAACGCTAGCTTTGGCCAGTGTTCTTGACTAAGCGACTACTAAAAAAGATGGTCATATTTGTAATACCTTAAGTTGTCTACTCTTGCAAATGGTATGCCTTGGGGTCAGGGCCGGCCCAAGGCATTGTGCTGCCTGGGTTCATAGATGAAATGCTGCCCCCCTCCCAAAAAAACGCTCTTCAAAACACGCTTACATCCATTAATTTATGCAGTGTGTAATTAATTGTCTACGTTTGTGTATTGTATGCAGCGTGTGTTGTGGATGCAGTGTTTGTGTTTGTGTAGTGCTAGCAGTGTCTGTGTTTGTGTAGTGAATGCAGTGTGTATGTAGTGGATGCAATGTGTTTGTGTGGACGAACTATCTGTGTGTGTAGTGGATGCAGTGTGTAAAACGGGAAATGTAGGGAGTCAACGCTTAACAAATAAAATCCTTGTGTGGAATCCAATGTAGCCAGTATAAAAGAGAAAACAAAATAGGACCGGAATACTAATATACTGTATAGTGTATAGTATGTCTATAACAGCAGAGGCAAAATCTAAAGAAAAATATTGCACTCACACTTTTCTAGAGCTAAAGATCAGCTACAGATCACAGCGTATGGACGGTACAATCAGGGCCGGATTAACATAGGGGCTAATGGAGCTGCAGCTCCAGGCCCAGGCCCGTGACATAGGACCATTTAAAAAAAAAAAAAAATTTTTTTTTTTTTTTTTTACACACTACTCTTAGGTTTGCCACCTGGCTGGTATTTTACTGGCACAGCCGGTATTTGAGGCTGCCTGGCCGTGCCGGTATTGCAGTAATACTGGCAATACAAATGCAGGTAATTTTCTCAGAATAAATGGAAATTACTCTGCAATACCAGCACCGGCCAGTTGGGGTCACTGTGTGTGGAGAGAGGCAGGGATAGGAAGTTACAGAATATCCCTGCCTCTCTCTACTACTCACTGATCCATGGGGGAGCAGCAACACAGCACAGAGTCCAGACATCAGCTCTACATCTCAGGTAAGTGAGGGATGGGGGGAAAGGCAGCAGGTACACATGTGGACACAGACACTAGGGGACACTGAGACACTAGGGGATATATGGGGACACTGAGACACTAGGGGACACAGACACTAGGGGACACATGGGGACACAGACACTAGGGGACAATGAGACACTAAGACACAGACATTTGGAGACCTGGAAACACTGAGACACTTGGGGACACTGGAAAACATGGGGACACTGAGACACTAGGGGACATATGGGGACGCTGAGACCATGGGCGTCTGCAGGGGGGGGCACTTGCCCCCCCCCTGGATTTTTCAGCTTGTTCTGCTTTTTTCGTGTGAGATTTAAAATGAACTGCAATACCGGCGCCGGCCAGTAGGTGGCGCTGTGTATGGAGAGAGACAGGGATAGGAAGCTGCATCTTATCCCTGCTTCTCTCTGCTGATTGAAACCGCAGGGGAGCAACACATGCAGCCAGAGACAGCCTACATATCAGGGGAGTGAGGGATGGGGTGGGGGGATTCAGATAGCCTATAGACTTGGGGGGGGCAGCAGCAGCCTATAGACTTGGGGGGGGGGCAGCAGCAGCCTATAGACTTGGGGGGGGCAGCAGCCCATAGATTTTGGGGGGGCAGCAGCAGCCTATAGACTTGGGGGGCAGCAGCAGTCTATATATAGACTTGGGAGGGCAGCAGCCGCCCTATATGAACTTGGGGGGCAGCAGCAGCCCATTCTATAGAGTTGGGGGCAGCAGCGGCCGCCTATGAACATAGGGGGGCAGCAGCAGCCTATATAGACTTGGGGGGGCAGCAGCCTATAGATTTAGGGGCAGCAGCCCATAGATTTGAGAGGCAGCAGCCTTTAGATTTGGGGGCAGCAGCCCATAGATTTGGGGAGGGGGGCAGCAGCCTATAGATTTGGGGCGGGGCAGCAGCCCATAGATTTGGGTGGGGGCAGCAGCCCATAGATTTTGGGGGGGCAGCCTATAGATTAGGGAAGTGAGCAGATTAGTGAGCCTATTGCATTAGGGTGTGCACCCTAAATCACAAACACACGCCATGTGTATATGTATGTATGTGTGTGTGTATATATATATATATATATATATATATATATATATATACACTGCTGTGTGTGTGTGTGAGGGTGTTGGTAGTGTGCTATGTGGGTGACGGTGTTTTTGTGTGTGTTTGTGAGAGTGCTGTTAGTGTGCTGTGTGTGAGGGTGCTGTTTGTGTGCTGTGTGCGAGGGAACTGGTAGTGTGCTGTGTGTGTGTGTGTATATGTGAGAGGGTGTTTGTGTGTGCGTGTTTGTGCGGGTCCTGTTAGTGTGCTGTGTGTGGGTGTTGTGTGTTTGTCAGGGTGCTGTTTGTGTGTGAGTATGCTGTTTGTTTGTGGGTGCTGTGCGGGTGCTGTGTGTGGGTTTTGTGTGTTTGTGAGGATGCTGTTAGTGTGTTGGGTGTGTGGGTGTTGTATGTGTGTGGGTGCTGTGTGTGCGAGGGTGATGTATGTGTGTAGGTGCTGTGTGTGTGTGTGCTGTATGTTTGGGTGGAAGTGGGGGCAGATTAGTTAATATCCCAGTCCTGCTGCCTTCCCTGGTGGTTCAGTGGAGAGTGAACTCTAGCCCGGGTTCTCTGCTGCCTCCCTCCATGCTGCTGTGGACCGTGAGGTAGAACTTTGATCTCCCCACCGGCCCATGGAGGCTTAGACCAGAGCCGCCGCTCTGCATGAGCCGACCGAGAATATCCCCTGCCGGTCTCAATCCATTGGAGTGCCGCGGGGACTAGGGTGTGCCCATGCACACCCGACACACCCCGTGCGCACACCTATGGAAGTGAGGGATGGGGGAGACAGCCTACATGAAGAGTCAGCAAGGAGCAGGAAGGTAAAGTAAGAAAAGGAGAAGGAACAGAAATGAGCAGGAAGGGACATCAAGGAGCAGAAAGGGGCAGCAAGGAGCTAGAAGGGACAGCAAGGAGCACAAAAGGTAAAGTAGGAGAAGGAGCACAAAGGAACAGAAATGAACAGGAAGGGTCAGCAAGGAGCTGGAAGGTAAAGCAGCACAAAGGTACAGTAGAAGGAGCACAAAGGGTCAGAAATGAGCTGGAAGGGGCAGAAGGAGCACAAACATAAAGTAGGAGAATGAGCAGGAAGGGTCTGCAAGAAGCAGGAAGGGCCTGCAAGAAGCAGTAAGGAGCACAAAGGTAAAGGAGCAGAAAGAATTAGAAGGAGCACAAAGGTAAAGTAGGAGAAAGAGCAGAAAGGGACAGCAAGGAGCACAAAGGTAAAGTAGAAATGGGAGCAGAAAGGGTCTGCAAGGAGCAGAAAGGGATCAGAATGAGAAAGGAGCAGAAGGGCGCAAAATAAGCAGAAAGTAGCCGAAAGGTAAAAGAGCAGAAGGGGCCAAGGATAGAAAACAGTGTCAGAAGAAAAAAAAAAGACTGTCAAATGAAGGAGAGGAAAAGGAGATTGGAGCAGGAAGGACAAATGAAGTGAACCCTCCACTTTATTCTGGACACCACATCATAAGGCTTTGGTACCTGGGCCAGGCAGGGAAACACTGGACCTTCTCATCTCCAAAGGTAAAAAAATATCGGTGTTAATGTGTTCACTTTTATTTACTGAGTGTAAGGAAGCACAGTGTGCCGTTGGGTAGGGGTGTTGCTGATTGGCTAGAGCGGTCAGCTGGCACTCTAAGCCAATCAGTAGCTCCCCATTCATAAAAAAGTTAAAATATTTTATGAACCGGGAACTAGCGATTGGCTTAGAGCGTCAACTGTCCACTCTAGCCAATCAGCGGCACCCATGCCTGAGTCTGCACTTCCTGACACTCTGTTTCAGAAGCCAAATACCACTGAGCGACCTGGAGCTGGAGGAAGCCTTTGGGGTTAAACCATTTGAGAGCGATTTAACCCCTTAAAGGAAAGCGAGCACCCAGGGGCTTCCTGGCATCATAGCATTTTCATTTAGGTGAAGTTGTTATGGTGACCAGAATGGTCCTTTAATTTGCTTAAAGGAACACCATAGTGTCAGGAATACAAACATATATTCCTGACACCATAGTTGTGAAAACGCTATTCACCCTGGCTTTATGTGATAATGGCTGTGCCCCTTCCCTTTCATGACACTGTCAAAAAGGTACCTAGCATGGATGTCATTACAATTATGCCCCCCCCGGAAAAATTCCTGCGGACGCCCATGGCTGAGACACTAGGGGACACATGGGGACACAGACACTAGGGGACACTGAGACACTAGGACACATGGGGATACAGACACTGGGAGACCTGGGGACACAGACACTTGGGGACACTGGAAAACATGGGGACACTGAGACACTTGGGGACGCTGGAAAACATGGGGACACTGAGACACTAGGGGACACTGGGACACATGGGGATACTGTGAGACATAGGGACATTGGGAGACATTGGGACACGGAGACACTATGTTCCCATGTCCCCCAGCCAGTGTCTCAGTGTCCCCAAGTCTCCCAGTGTCTGTGTCCCATATCATTCAGTGTGCCAAGTGTCCCCATGTGTCCCAGTGTCCCTATATGTCCCAGTGTCCCCATGTCTATGTCCACAACTGTCCCCATGTGTCCCCAAATGTCTGTCTCCCAGCTAGTGTCCCCTAGTCTCCCAGTATCCCATAGTCTCCCAGTATCCCCTAGTCTCTCAGTGTCTGTGTCCCTAGTGTCTTAGTGTCCCCAAATGTTTCAGTGTCCCCATGTCTCCCAGTGTCTGTGTTCCTAGTGTCTCAGTGTGCCTGGTGTCCCCATGTCTCCCAGTGTCCCTATATGTCCCAGTGTCCCCATGTCTATGTCCACAACTGTCCCCATGTCTCCCAGTGTCCCCAAGTGTCTGTCTCCCAGTGTCCCCTAGTCTCCCAGTGTCCCCAAGTGTCTGTCTCCCAGTGTCCCCTAGTCTCCCAGTGTCTGTGTTCCCATGTCTCTGTGTCCCTAGTGTCTTAGTGCCCCCAAATGTTTCAGTGTCCCCATTTCTCCCAGTTTCCCTAAATGTCTCACTGTCCCCGGGTCTCAGTGTCCCTGGGTTTCTCAGTGTCCCCAGTATCCTAGTGACATGGGGACACACTGAGACATTGGGAGAAATGGGGACACAGACACTGGGAGACTAGGGGACTGGGCGACAGGGGGACACTGACACTGTGATACATAAGGACACTGAGACACTGGGTGACTTGCGAGACTGAGACACTGGGAGACAGGGAGACACTGGGAGCAATCCATCTATACATCAGAATCAAACTGTGAGTAGTTTGTTGGTGATTTTACAGAATTTTCTCTGCTGTCACTCCTTGTGATTTACATCATGTGATGTCACGCATAACTAATTAATTATACAAATGATTAAGGCTGGTATTTTTTTTCAAGAAAGGTTGCAACCTTCACATACTCTTGCTTAAAGGAGCACTATAGGGTCAGGAACACAATCATGTATTTCTGACCCTATTATGTTAAAACCACCACCCTGGTGCCTCCCTAAATATAGTCAAATATTACTTGTATTCAAGTCTGCAGCTGCTGGCTCAGAAGTGGTAGTCTGAGCAAATTACAATACTTCCCCATAGGATTGGCTGAGACTTTCAACTAGGCAGATCAGGGGCAGAGCCAGCACAAGTCCAACATAGCCCTGGCCAATCAGCATCTCCTCATAAAGATAAATTGAATCAATGCATCTCTATGAGGAAAGTTCAGTGTCTGCATGCAGAGGGTGGAGACACTGAATGGCAGAGCTGCAGACTAGGCAGTACTGCCCCAGGAAGCACCTCTAGCAGCTATCTAAGGAGCAGCCAGTGGAGTTATTTTCTCTGAAAAGACAGTGTTTACTGCAAAAAGCCTGAATGGAATGATTCTACTTACCAGAACAAATACAATAAGCTGTAGTTGTTCTGGTGACTATAGTGTCCCTTTAAGTTTGGAAGCTTAAGAGGGATGTATGGGAACAAAACTTGTGTGGACTGGCTGACATTAAAATTAGTTTAGGTCATGCAGACGTTGGTCTCTGTGGCATGCCCCCTTTCTTCTACACTCACTACATACACCTTTTCTCTGTCTCAGACTATATACCAGGAACTTCTGCCTGCTAGTAAGAAGGTAAGGAGACAAGTGTATCCACTACACACACACACACATCATCCACTACATAAACACACAAACACACTCTGCACTTACTATACACACACTACATCCACTACAAACACAATCTGCAGTCACTATGTACACACTAATTCCACTACACAAATACACACTCTACATTTATTACAAACTCTGCATTCACTATACACACAGACATACCATCCACTACACAAACACACTACATCCACTACACAAACACACACTCTGCATTCACTATAGACACCAAAAATCCACTGTACACACACTCTATCCACTACACAAACAGATAATCTGCATCCACTATAAACACCACATCCACTTTACTGATGCACTTTGCATCCACTACACATATTCTACAGCCACTATACACACACCAAATTCAGTACACACAAATGTCATTCTTGTGACTCAGGATGGGCCCTGTGGGTGAATCTGGGGGCGGGTCATGTGGGCAGACTCGGGGGCAGGCCACTGGGGGCCCAGACCTTGGTCTGCGTCAGGGGCAGTGGTGTATCCTGGTTTTGTGCTGCCTTAGGCATGACAAAACTCAGGCCCCCCCCACCCCAGCGCCACCCCACCATGCCCCGCCTTCAAAATACATACGCACATTCACTGACAGACACGCATACACTAGCTAACAGACATACACACTCACTAACAGACACATACAGTCACTAGCAGACACACACATTCACTAACAGACACGCATACACTCTCCCTAAAAGACACACATATAGTAATACACTCCCTTACAGACACACTCCCTGACATACACACACTCACTAACAGACACACACTCACACACACTAACAGACACACACTCACACGCACGAACAGACACACACACTAACAGACACACACACTAACCCACTAACAGACACACACTCACTCACTAACACACAAATACTAACAGACAAACACACACACACTCACTAACAGACACACACACACACTAACAGACAAACACCCACTCACATTAACACACTTTTTTTTTTAATTCAACCCCTCCAGCCTCCTTACCTTTGGGAATGCTGGGGGGTGGGGGGGGTTCTCCCTTTCCCTAGGGTCCAGTGGCTGCTGGGCTGCTAGACGGGCGGTGCTGGTGAGGTAGCAGTGATTAGTGAGCTCTCTGCTCAGCTCCCTCACGCGCCACAGAGTGATGCCGGGAGACGGAATATGACGTCAAAAGTGAATGTGCTCCCTCGCCAGCGCCGCCTGCCCAGCAGCTCGTCCGGATTTGTAGTTAGCCGCAAGGCGAGGGAGCACTTTCCCCTGAGCGCTCTGCTCAGCTCTCTCTCGCGCCGCAGAATGATGCCGGGAGCCAGAATATGACATCATATTCCGGCTCCTGGCATCACTCTGCGGCGAGCGAGGGAGCTGAGCCCGGCTTGTCAGTTAGCCTGAGCATTTGGGGGCGGCTTGCTGAAATGCTTTATGAGTGAGGAGTACCCTCTGTGACAGACCCTCCTAGTGCTTACAGAAAAAAGAAAGGAAGGCAGCGCCACTATAAACCACATAAATTAAAAGAGCACAGAATAGGCAGACTAGAATGCAATATAGATAGATAATAAGCAAATAGAAGTCCAGAATAAATAGTCTGACTGGTAGATGAATCAAACAACGAGGTATTTCTTTGTAGAGGTGAATACAGTCTTTTGTAGTGGGGGATTCTTCAGAGTGGTGTAGATTCGTCTTTGTACATCATATGAAATAAAAAAATTAAAAAATAACAACTGATGGTGCAGTATGTCCCGAAAGGGGTAGAAGCAATAAAAGAGTATATGGTCCTACTCACGTTTTCAAGAGCTATGGACTTAGCTCTAGTGTTGATAACGTACAGTGGTATAATCCCCACTTATGGGATACGTGAGGTCTTAGTATTCTTTCTTGATTAGGGGACTTTTAACTACTACCCAAATATCGGTTTTAACTAAGGGCCTCAAATTTGCACCTACCAATCCCTATCAACCATTCCAAGCCTTTTTAGATTTAAATAAGTTTGTTAGGAAAGCTACACTAAAAAGATTTTTTAGCAGCAGAATTGAGAATCAATCTATTAACCAGGGACAGACCAACTATTCCCCCACACCTCCATGTATTAATGACGAGATACCAGTGAAAAACACCACCCTTAAGAATAACTCTAATTTTTACCCATCAAGTTTCAAATCTGGCCCAATAGAAGTTTTTGAGAATTTGGTAAAGCAAGACTTAGAAAAAATTAATACATCCAAAAAAAACAACCACAAATATCATAAATATAACCAATATAACTTAACCTTTCAAGAAAGGAAAGCTCTCACAGATCTTAAAAAAGATAACACAGTAGTCATCAAACCAGCCGATAAAGGGGGCGGCCTAGTTATACTCTCACAAGAAATGTACATCAAAGAAGCATTTAGACAGCTTAATGACCCCAAAGTATATGACAAGCTACTATCAGACCCAACCCATACCATCCAAAACTCCCTTATATCATTTTTAACCAAAGGCTTAAATTCCAATATCCTCAACAAAAAAGAATTTGCTTATTTAAATATACCTCATCCAAAAATTCCAGTTATATACTTTTTACCAAAGATACACAAGAATGAGACCAATCCACCAGGTAGACCTATTGTCTCCGGGATCAATTCTGTTTTATCAAACTTATCAGAGTATATTAACATTTTATTACAACCATCAGTCAGACTTATGAGGTCATACTTAAAAGATTCCATGTCTCTCTTACGTTTTTTAGAAAATTTTACCTGGCATCCAGATTTTATTCTAGTCACTTGTGATGTCCAGTCTTTGTACACCATAATCCCCCATGAATTAGGGTGTGAAGCAGTTTTAAATAGATTAAAAACGGATAATAAAATTCCAGAAAAACAAATTAATTTTATCTTAGAAGGGATAAAAATGATTTTAACAAATAACTATTTTTGGTTTTTAGACACTTTTTACATTCAAAGACAAGGCACAGCTATGGGTACTAGGTTTGCACCAAGTTATGCCAATCTTTTTATGGACAATTGGGAGTCTAAAGCAATCTGGGGAGATCACCCCTGGAAAGCAAACCTAGTATCCTATTTTAGATACATAGACGACTTGTTTTTTATCTGGAAAGGTCCTGAAACCTCACTTAAACTTTTTTTAAATCATCTAAACAACAACAATAGTGGCATCATTTTAACATCAGAACACAGCAAAGATTTAATAAATTTTTTAGACATTCAAATTTTTATCCAGGATGGGAATATTAACACTAGAACTTTTTTTAAAAAAGTGTGCACCAACACAGTCATTGACAGATCAAGCTGCCACTACCAACCATGGTTAGATGGGGTCCCTAAAGGTCAGTTCCTACGTCTTCGCAGGAACTGTTCCCTTAATACAGATTTTGACGAACAAGCTAGAACACTAGAAGCTCAATTTATCAGTAAAAATTACCCAAAAGAAAAGCTAGAAGAATCCCTCAAAGCAGTGAAACAAAAAGAAAGACTCGAGCTTTTAGAATATAATACGAATAAAAATAAAGACCCACCATCCATGCCGATCATCTTTAACTTTGACAATAAGAATAAAATTGTGAAAAAAACTATTCAAAACACTGGCACATTTTAAAACAAGACGAAATTTTAAAGACACTCATCCCAGATAAACCCCATATCATTTTTAGAGGGGCCCCAAACCTAAAGACAATGCTTACTAAAAATTATACAAAAAAGCCAATACAAGCAATCCATCATTTTTATCAAATTCTAAAGGTTTTTTCAAATGCAACAGATGCATTGTCTGCAGATCCACTGACCAAAACAGCACATCAAAGACAACACAATTCACCTCAAACAAAACCGGTATTACATACCCTATTAAAGACTTAATATGTTGCACTACTAAGAATGTTGTATACCTATTGGAGTGCCCATGTGGCCTCCAGTATGTGGGTATGACCACACGATGCTTAAAAATAAGGTTAGCAGAACATTGTAGAAATATTATCAAAGGCTACCCTAATCACTCTGTTTCAAAGCATTTTATCCAACACAACAAAGACCCTAAATTTTTAAAATGTACTGGGATCCAAAGATGTAAATTACCCTGGAGGGGAGGTGACCTCAAAAAATTACTGGGACAAAAAGAAATGCACTGGGTGTTCCTTTTAAAAACCCTTACCCCCGAAGGTCTTAATGTAGAGTTCGACCTGTTTAATTTTTTATAATTTTTTATAATTTTTATAATTAATTTTTTATAATATATTTCTTATATTTTATTATCTTTTATAATTATTTTGTGCATGAAGTACATATTTATACAATGTGACTTATATACGTGACTGTTCTATTTAAATAATATGCAAGGTATTGTGAGTATAAAACCTTGTTTTTAATTTAAATTTTAGACTATCACATGTCTCCAATATAGGTTTGTATTCACTGATACATATAAAGTTTAGCACTTTTGAAAAAAAAAAAAAATGGCCACCGATCATGTGACTGTTGTATCTAAATAGAATATGTAAGGTATTGTGAGTTTAAAACCTCGTTTTTAATTTTAAACTATCACATGTTTTACATATAGGTATGTACTCACTTACACATATAAAATTTAGCACTTTTGAGAAAAAAAAAAAAAAAAAAATTATGACATCATTTTGGTGCCATTTTCTAATATGTTCACTGCCTATATAAACCTGTATGTAACAGGATGAACTTTCTGATCTCCACTTGATAAAGCCTAAGGGCGAAACGCGTTGTGGTTTTTTTAAACTATATTGTTTTAAATAAAGGTATTTTGGCCACTTTCTTACCATCTTACTTTTTATTACTATTATTATTTTACTTTTTTATTACTACCATCCTTTTATCCGGCACAGAGGTGTTTTTACTTTCCAGTGAGGATATTACTCCCAAGAATCCTAGGTGGGGATTATACCACTCAAGCTGTATTCATTGAACAGTCAGTCTGTTCAACTAAATGTGAGTAACCACTTGGTTTTTTATCTTCTCACCTCTGGCATTTTATACTTTGAGCACCATTGTTGTTCCTGCTTTTATTTCCACATATGGTCCCCTAATCAAGAAAGAATACTAAGACCTCACGTATCCCATAAGTGGGGATTATACCACTGTACGTTATCAACACTAGAGCTAAGTCCATAGCTCTTGAAAACGTGAGTAGGACCATATACTCTTTTATTGCTTCTACCCCTTTCGGGACATACTGCACCATCAGTTGTTATTTTTTTATTTCATATGATGTACAAAGACGAATCTACACCACTCTGAAGAATCCCCCACTACAAAAGACTGTATTCACCTCTACAAAGAAATACCTCGTTGTTTGATTCATCTACCAGTCGGACTATTTATTCTGGACTTCTATTTGCTTATTATCTATCATATATATTGCATTCTAGTCTGCCTATTCTGTGCTCTTTTAATTTATGTGGTTTATAGTGGCGCTGCCTTCCTTTCTTTTTTCTGTACCATTTCTGTTGTAAGGCCTGTGAGGGAGCCCTACTTTTTAGGTGTGCTGCCACTTTTTACTTATTTATTATTGTTTCTGTTGTATTTTGTATAGATAGAGAGCGCTGATCCCTTTCTTCTGTTCTATCCTCCTAGTGCTTACCAAGGACCATCAGCATGGCACCAGACACCATAAGCACTGCAGACCCAACGAACTGCCGCAGCTTGGTTGGGGTCTCGCCGTCTCCTACCCACCCTGGACCTACGACAAGGCACCACGCTCTAGTGGGTGAGCCTCACTTCCTTCAGAGATCGAAGCAGGAACAGCTCTTAGAAGAGGTAGTGATTAGAACCCAGGGCAGTATGCATAGTATTGCAATTCCCAATGTGATTATAGCAGTTCCCTACAACACGAGATGAGGCTGCGAGTTGACGGTAAGAAGGTCTGACAGTTTATTGAACAGCTTGAGTTTTTATACAGTTTTTCCCCACAAGGTTGACGCCCAGGTGGACCTTGTGGAGCACAGGACACAGAATTAACAAACCAATAAAAACAGAGAAATAAGTGCGCTGAATATTTATAAAGTGCAAATATAACTCACTGTATCAATAAAGTGAGATAGTGCAAACCATTTATATCACTTTGGTGCACAAATACAAGTGCACATCCAAACGCTTATAACACTCTTTATCAGTGCAATATGGAAAATTCTTAATACCAAGATTGTAAAGTGACTTAGTGTATTAAAAGACCAAATATGGTACACTTACTAAAATCATATGCTTGAAGTAACCCTTGGTTTCCAATGGTGTTACATAAAAAGAAATACAATACAAAGCATATATAGTGCAGTATTGCTATTTAAAAATAATACAACGTGTGTGTAAAAATTTCACTCACAAGCAGAGAGCAGATGAGCCTGCTCTACTTCTGACAGCACCAAATGCAGAAA